CTTTTCAACTCTCGTTCGATACAGAACCGAGCATGCACAGTATATACAGGATGATTCACGCAAATTGCACACTTGGAGAGTGTGCGTTCTAATGCAGTTTTCATACTCGAGACAAATTATCGTAGAATATCTCCTTAACCATTAGGTTTAAAACCAAAGGTTTAATATCTTTTCACTTGGAATTTATAGTGGTACACTATAGATATAATGCAAAGGTTTAATATCTTTTCACTTGGAATTTATAGTATTATATTATAGATATAATACAAAGGTTTAATATCTTTTCACTTGGAATTTATAGTATTGTACTATATATACATATATAGTATATATTACACCATGTATAGTTTTATAGCATTACAGTATTATAGTTAATTTATAGTATTCTTTCGAATTAAAGAAAATAAAAACGAACTTGGAAATTTCGAACGTCAATACACACAAAAAAATTCATACGCCATATTTTGCCTTCTTCAAAACCATAATAAAAAGTTAAGTTATTATATAAAAAATAATTGAAAAATATTATATAAAATATTATATATTATAATTATATTATATTATAGTATTATATAAAATATTATATATATTATAATTATAATATTATAGTATTATATAAAATATTATATAAATATTATAATAACATTATATATTATTATTATAATTATAATAATATTATATTATAGTAGTATATAAATATTATAATTATAATATTATAGTATTATATAAAATATTATTATATATTATAATTATTATATATTTATATAAAGCATTATATATAATATATAATATTATATATATATTATAGATAAAAAAGTATTATATATAAAATATTAATAGTTAAGTTATTTCAGGTGTGCGATTTATGCGAATCACCTTGTACATGAACCGATTAAGGAGCAGCCGGTTGCGGAATTACGCGTAGTGTTACGGTTACCATGGGAATACAAGCTTCCGGTTCCCAAGGAGATTAATTACGGTTCGTCCAAAGTCTTTTCGCCACCCTCCAACCAAAGGCTTTTCATACCTCGCGATCGCGTATCTTCGAGGAGCACTTTGATGTGCCATTCTTTCGTGTTCCGTCACGTCCAACATTTTTACGCGAACATTCGTAAAAACGTCTCCTAATGATTTATCTGGCCGTGAGAACGCAAGCTTCCGGTTCCCAAGGAGATTAATTACGGCTCGTCCAAAGTCTTTCCGTTACTTTGACGCTGAAAGCTTTCGGACAGCTTCGACACACACTCTGGCGCGGAATTCTCTCGCCAGGGTCATTTTCTCAGATTTGACGTTTCTCGTTCGACAAACTGTCAGGTCTTCACGACCCAAGATCTTCTAGAATTTTATCTCTTTGCCCCGAGTAGTAAATATAATCGCGGCAGTCGTTGATAACTCCTCCTCGAGGGACTCGTCGCCTTTTGTGATCCTTCAGCGAGATTTCAGCCAGGGTGAAACTTTCCAGCTGAACTCCCTTAGATAAAATTTCGATCGTTAATTCGTTGGGTTAATTCGTTCGATAAAAACTTTGGTGAAGTACCGTTGCCACTGAGGAAACTGAAGATTAGAGAAAGAATTTCGAGAGACGTGAGTTTCAGACGTGAGAGAAGGGGGGGAACAACAATAGGAATATTAAGTGAGGTATCTCCTGTTAAGGTTCCAACTTATGAACTCAAGAAATCGAATAATTATGTGATTTCAAAATTCACATCAACAGAAATCAGTGTCGTCTAAACGGAACTTTGTCTTCCCGTACCAAATATTGTAACAAGAGTTCTACTTTCGATATTCTACATACACGTTTCTGTGTTTCGAATCCTCTTGATTCAATTCACGTCAAATTAAAATTTATGTCAGATTAAAATTCAGATCGGCACAATGAGCACCGTCCAAACACAACTTTGTCTTTCGTTGCCAAATATTCTAACTAAGTATTGTACTAGGTATTGTAAAAATTCTATTTTTAATATTCTGTATTTTGTATCAATTCACGTCAAATTAAAATTTAGAATATTTGATTTATATTATATGGAGATTAATAATGAAATGATTTATATTAATAATGAAATTTAATTCAATTAAATGATTTACTCGAATAATCGATAGACTGGCAACATGAATTAAGACTGAAATTTCCCATAAAAATCCACAGTCCACGAATGAACCCAATTACATCAAATTTCCATCGCATATTTTTTTACATTTCATCATCGCGGGCGTTACAAATCGATCGTTAGACGACCGACGTCGCGCTTAATTAATCATTGAATTCGTTCGTTGCGGATTCTCGTGGCGTGGCACGGCCGGAAATTACAAAAATGTGCGCGAAAGGAATTTTCTGGCCTGTAGTTATTGCAATTATAGTACAGCCGGCAGCAGTATCTTATCTGCACGTGAGCGGCAATTACCGTGAAACTGTTAAAAATGATTGTTAATTTTCTCGGCGGCTTCGCGCGATTTACGCTCGCGGTTTGCCAGCGTTCGAGAACAGCTTGCTTTAACGAGTTCTTAGCTTTATCGTGAAAACGCGTTTTCAGCAGACGAACGAGTCACGGCTTTTTTCTATTCGTTTCTTCTTTTTCTTTCTTTTTCTTGGTCTTCGTCGCGGATCTGTTTCTCGTTCGTGACAAACAAAGTTTCTTTTTTCTATCCGTCACTGACAGATCGAATGTCCAGCTGCGTGTTTACGCAACGCGAGGAAAAAGTTGATCGTAGTCAGTCCAGTTTTTGTTAAACGTATCTCTCTTTTTTTTTATTTTTTTTTTTTTTTTTATCAGACAGATTATTGCAAAACATATTTCTTGCCTTTGAGATACGTAACACTGACTCTGCGTGTCTTATGTGTCTCAGATTTTTATTTGAATTGAAACTTCACTTTCGTTGCTTTTTTTTTTTTTTACTCAACTCGAGATTTAATTAGGAGACACTAATTTCATGTTAGAAAAATGAACGGACAAAGTGAACAGCCTGTGTCGTTTCAGTCATATACACGAAACTTAACAATAATACAATTTTATCCAAATAAAATCAATACTAATATAGTCACTTTCGTTTTCTTTGATTCAATCGCAATTTGATTTGGACCGATCGATTCTATATTCACGGAAAAAATAAACAGTCTATATCGCTTTAATCATATATATATATATATATATACACGTAACCTAAACAATAACACAATTTTATCCAAATAAGATCAATTAGATAGCAACGTGATTCCATTCAAACTAGACAAGCTGGTCGAAAGTTGTACAACGCTCCGGTATTGTATAACTAATTAGAACCTTGAACTATAGTTTCCAGATCATCGGCGGAACGCGCTACATTTTCCGTTCACAGAACTGTCACCGGGCATGAATTATACATCGCTTGACAATACACACACACGCACACATACGCGCGTATAAATCCGCTTATACAGACACAATTGCGACGCAACGTGCTGTCGATTTTTACTGCGAACACCTCGACGTGATTCGCAACGTGCAACGCCCTATTTTGTCATCGATACGATTACCTCGAGGATACGTATCGCTCTCGCGGTAACAATGCAACACGTTGCGAACGCTTCTCTGATCCACAATTAATTATCTTTGCGTCGTGATTTTGTCACCTAGCGCGAGAGTTCCTCGAAAGATCGGGAAAGATCCGGAACGCGGGTCATCGAGAGTGGCACAGTTGCCTCTTCGAGTTTCTAAACCACTTAAGTTCCCGGTTGGTTGCCGCGGAACTTCCCGGAAACTCCGCGATTCGGAACAGAGGGCGCGCTCTGTTCCGCAAAAATGTCGCAACTCGGCGAATCCTGCAATTGAAACGCAACACGGGCTCGTAACACCGGGTGGCCGTGTGTAATGGCGGAAAGTTTACGTATAAAAGCTTCCCAACGGACGAACGGTTCGACTGGATTGAACTTCAATAGTTTATTTGTGACAACAGACGAACTTTTACGGGGGAAGAATTATTGCATTTTTTGTTTTCGTTCTGCGAATCGTGTTTACTCTATTTGTCGACCGGTGGAGGATTGTTCGACCAATGTCAAACGACTCGTATCATTTGCAAATTCATTTGGTATGTTGAATTATTATACTCGAAATGAACGGGTGAAATGATAATCATTTTCACGAATTTATTGTTTTCGGTAGTAACTAAGTTATTCGTGAAGTAATTTGGATTCAGATCGAATAAATCTGTTGCAAACGAGCTTTTGCTTTATAGTTCATTCGTTGCTGTAAAGTAGCAAATAATCTCAACAGAAGGTGAAGTTCATGCAATAGGATTAGAAACTGACAATGAGATAGAATTTGAAAAATTATTTGAAGAAATAGATACAAAATGAAGTGAGAAATTATTTTATTTGATAGCTAAGGAATGAAATAGTTAATTTGCTTGTTTAAATCAACTAACGTAGGATTATTCTCAAATTAAATAAGATGATATGTTATTTCATCAATTATTTTCCAAATATTTTATTCGAACAATGTACTTGTTATATATTGCATTATTAACATTTTCAAGGCAATTAGAAAATTCTTGCGTCTTACTCATCAACTTTCGGAAAAGATATGATACTAATATTCGTAAAAAAAATTTCTATCTTTAATTGTCACATACTGGAATAATTTTGAAAATTGAAATATTTGACGAAAGAAAAATTCGCTTGCAGCTACGTAGAAAGAGAAAACATCTTATTTATCCTGCCTGCAAGAATTAATTGTTAAATTTTGCACAATACACGTAATATTAAAATTCATAAAAGTTTTCTCCGCGTCCATACAAATTTTATTTAAATTGAATGTTCAAACGATATTCATCCTAATGAGTGTTTAAATATTATTTCTGTGAACGCACGTGATGCAATTGTTCAAAACTGTAACTTTGTCTAGACGCATAAATTTTTCGAAGTGATTCCGTGAACACGAGCTTAACAATATAACGGATGCTACGCCTGAAACGCAACAATGCAGCCAGAGTGATATTCTGCAATTGTAGATGCACCCTAATCTATGTGCAAACCTCTCGGCAAGGATCAAACAATGGGTGCAGAGTATCTGTCCAGATGGACGGAAGGTGTAAACGTAGACATAAGCGTAATCCTAATGGGTCTTCGCGGTTCGTGTTCAACCATAATCCTTCTCTTGTATTATCAATTTGCACATTTACCGAAATTGTCGTTTACTCGGAAATTCGTTTGTTAAAATGTTTCATTCTACTTTTCAATTCAATTCAAATCCTCTTTGCGCAAGTAACTTTTGCAAACGTGTGTGCAAATATGCGAAGAATAAACTGCTCTTGAATTTCTGACAATTCTTTCTATACATTTTTTTCTTTTTTTTCTATTTAATTGCATATTTTCTTGGTTATTATTTTAATCAGTTTTCAACTATTATTGTGATATCGGACGAGTCACGTACAGGATGAGTCATTCAATCGTACGATCTAAATTTACTTGCAATACATTCTTGTACTAAAAAAAAAAAAAAAATGTGCTCAAAGACACGTACGTCTTGTATCGTGGAGGATCTCAATTAATGAGAGCGAGTGATACGTTCGAGTGTGTCATAATCACACGTTCCAACAATGCGGTCTTTCATGTCTTCCGTCGTAAGCTTCAACTTTTCAGATGCCTCCGAGGAAAGTTAAAAATTGCTTCGTGAATCTGTCGTTTTGAACTGAAATAGCTTGCGAATAATAAATTCGCGCGCGGTACAATTATACGACTCGCTCTGTAAATCGAGCGTGCGAAAGCACAGAATGGAACTAGAAATGGGGGCATAATTACAATGAACGATATTTACGACGTTGGTTTCTCGCTCTGGTATACGCACCAGCTCGCACCTTGCTTCCGCCGATATCTTTATTTGAAATCACTGAACCAAAATATCGCAGCGAACTGCCAGCCCTATTTGCATGCAGGTTGTACGTGTAACGTCTACTGCTCGTACAAAGGATACAATGCCAACGGCACGAAGTTACGTATTATTATATTTTGCAAACGTTCCCTACACTTTGGACTTGAATCCGAGCCAGCGTTATTCCTTCAGTAATGGAAACTCACGCGCGTTGTTCGCCGTTAAATTTGCGAGAAACCCATTACGCTTAACGAGAATTATTAATTAAGTGGAAATCGTCAAATTCACCGTGATTCCAGGTGAATAACATTCGCACAGTCTATTGTGTTATCTATGATACTTCCGTTGTGCAATGACGATCGAATACAATAATATTTCTTCGATATTGAAGTACAATAATGTTTCTTGCAAAATTAACGAAAAAAGAGTGCAATGTAATTAAATGTTTCTAGAAAACGGTGGATTTTTGGATTTTTATGAATGAATGCAAGTATTATACAAAAATGTATGGAACAACGAAAGAGTAGGATGTACTTGTTATAATGTTCGTTTTTTTGGGGGGAATTAATGGAGAAGTTCAATCTAATTAAATTTATTCTGGAAGATTGTTAATACGAATTTTCACAGCTAAATCACTGTAATTCTGAATTCTTATGAAACAACGCAGGTATTATATAAAAAATAAAATATAACAAGCAGAGTATGCTTGTTGAAATATTTGTTAACAGAAGCAAATTTTTACTTAGTGCCGCTTAATCGTCAAATCAATGAACTCAATTTTATTTACTTTGTAATTCTCACGAATGTCTCATAACATAGGGACATCTCGAAGGAATTTCACGAGTTAAAGGCACACGAGCTTTGATTACCACAGCACGAACGAAGCCGGTTAAGTACAGATCATTTAAGAACTTGTTTAACTACTCGTGTGGTATTAGACTCTTATCATTGCCATCTAACACGTTAAAATGGCACGTTCGGAGTTCTTCGGGCTCCAGTCAGAAGGGACTCAAATATTTGCCAATTCTATGTGCAAAGTTGGCTCAACGGGTAATTCCATTCAATGGGCCTCGGGTGCCACTATGTTTGTAAAGTAAAATATGTGAATGTTTATCGTGTTGAATCAGCCCGATTAAACTCCAACGGTATGCAAATAAGACTTGAACGATCTTCGATTTAGCGCGCAAGTGCAGTTACAATTTGCATTCCTCCACCGGTAATACCGGCTTAATAATCATAATAATTTCCGGTTTTCTAGCTCTGATTCGATTTGTATGTACAGCTTTACAGAAATATATTGTGCGATACGGATTTTTTGTTCTTTCAGAGAAATAATTACCCTTCGGTTAAGAAGGATGACATATTAACAAATTGAACATGTTCTTCGACCATTTTTAATTTATTATTTTAAAAAGAAAAACTCCTCTTTGTTAATCCTCTTTGTCAATTATCACAGTGGAGTATTGAAATATCGTACAATTTTACTGTGAAATTATATTTTATATAGATCTCATTATATTTATTAAGTGAGAGTAAGTGCTTGACTTTGCTCTCCATTATAAATATTGTGAATTGAAGATTTGGGGTTAATTCAAAATTTAAAAATCTTCGGTTTTCTACTCAGTAGTTTTAATATCATACTGCTAGTTACACATGTATTCTATTTGCGCATGAATTCAAAAATGTAAACTACGATTGCAGAGTAAACGATGTGAATTTTGGTAACCGAAACGAGACAACCGTGACCCCTAAAGAAATAGAAAATGTTTTCACAGGAGTCAGAAGGCACATCGATGGAGAAACAATCTTACGCGGGAACGATGCTTTGTATCAAGTCCGACATTTTTCGAGGAAGAGAAATATCGAGCGCGGCGCTGCGTTGGACGTCGCTCGTTTATTGACTTCCGGCACGAATCCCCTACCCCCAGCCTGTTATCCACACAACTGTTCCCTATCTATCCGATAACTCGCTCCGCCCTGCCAAACTTCCTTAACAATCGGTTTTTGAAACTATCGTTAATCGAAAATTCCAGCAACTACCGCTGGCTCGCGAAGCTGTTCTTACGAAAAATTCGAAATAACTATCGGATCGCAGAAGATCCGATCGTTAATTTAACTCTTGCCGCGCGGACGTGAGTATTTCGTGTCTGATTGTGAGCTTGTTCGACCGCTGCATTTCACGTTCTTCGATGGAAGCAGCTGGCATTGTTCAAGACACGTGTCTTGTCATGCTGGACTTGCAAAATATGACGCATGAATGTGTATTTTAATCAAAATAATGTAGAAAAATTAATAATATATTATAATTATAATATATTATAATACATTATAATAATATGTTATTATATATTATATATAATATATTATATATAAATATATTACAATAATTAATAATATATTATAATTATATTATTTTAATCAAAATAATATAGAATGTTACTAAATTTTGAGTCTCGCTTCGTTAAATTAACAAAATCGAACGAATTATACAATAAGTAACACGTTATCAACTTCCATCCTCAAAATTTAGTAATATTCTATATTATTCTGAATAAAATAATATAATTATAATATATTATTAATTATTGTAATATATTTATATATAATATATATATATTACAGTAATTAATATATATTATATAATAATATATTATAATTATATTATTTTAATCAAAATAACATAGAATATTACTAAATATTGAGGATGGAAGTTGATGACACGTGTCTCGTTTCGCTAAATCAACAAAATAAAACGAATTGTACAATAAGTAACACGTTATCAACTTCCATTCTCAAAATTAGTAATATTCTATATTATTTTGATTAAAATAATATAATTATAATATATTATTAATTATTGTAATATATGTATATATAATATATATAAATATATTATATATATTATAATTAAGTATAATAATACTATAAATATATTACAATAATTAATAATATATTATAATTATATTATTTTAATCAAAATAACATAGAATATTACTAAATATTGAGGATGGAAGTTGATGGCACGTGTCTCGTTTCGCTAAATCAACAAAATAAAACGAACTGTACAATAAGTAACACGTTGTCAACTTTCATATTCAAAATCTAACACTCTCCTTTTGATGAAAAAATGATGATTTGACGTAAAATGATGTACTTTGATCAAAATTTGATTTATATTCTTTTTCAACGAGTAAATCTCGATCTCTCAATCTCTCTTCTCTACACCTGTGTTGAGCCTGTTCATTTACTTAACGAAATTATCTATTTGCGGTGTCGTTGGAAACGTCCTTGATTAATACTTCACCTTCAAGGAAACTACCTTGGAGGAGGGAACTCGTGACCACTGGTGGTTGCCACAAAGTAAGTGTATCCCCTTTAGAGGGTTTTGATTATGGCTAAAGGTCCAGTCACGAGACCTTCTAGAAGTTTCACAGAATGTTATGAAACTTTTCAGTGAGTTTCAATGATAAACTTCCATCTTTTAGGTATTTCCACCATGACACTGCTGTGTACATCAGAAAATAAACGAAGAACAAGATTTGAATTAAAGATAAATATAAAAAATAAATGTTTATATCAGTCTTCAGTGTACAGATTAAGACAATATCTCGAGAATCGAAAGAAAACACATATTTTTCGACAGTTTATTCTTAATCTATTCTGAAAAGCTACCAGGTTCATTCTATCTTCGAATTATTTTCCATTAGACTATTTCTCGTTAACTCGTTCACTCTACTTCTTGTAAAAAACGATATCATATTATCCTCCTACGATTCTCGAATCTTTTAATTGTCACCTAACCCACCGATTATATATTAATATTCAATATATTAATATCCATCAGTTTCAAGCTAAACGAGCAACAAACCGAGCCAAAAATCAATAACAATTCCAAAATCAGGATACCGTAAGATCCATCAAAGTTTCTACAACTTTTCGATGCTACTTCTTGTAAAAAACGATATTATACAGGGTGGTCACTGAAAAACTGAATGACATAAAACAAAAATAACTTTTACAAACACATGTCTTTTTAATTTTTTTATTATTCTATTTGGAAATATAATTAATGGATTTTTTTCCCAGTATTATATACTCTTCTGTTTTTCAGTAGCCACGCTGTACTGTTCTCCTGCGATTCTCGAATCTTTTAATTGTCACCTAACCCACCGATTGTATATTAATATTCAACTCCGTCAGTTTCAAGCGAAACGAGCAACAAACCGAGCCAAAAATCAATAACAATTCCAAAATCAGGAT